TTTCGTCCGTTTGGCTCTATCTCTTACCGTTTAGGCGCTAGAGGGTCTTGTTTGACGAAAATAAGTTAAAAATTGCTGTAGTGAACAATTAAATGTAAAAGAAGGCCCAAAACCGCAAAAGAGGTAAGAAACTCCCTCCCCCCATCCCAAAAAACGTTTTCTGAGCAGAAGGGTGGGTTGTAGTCGCGGTGTTTCACCGTTACATCCCTTTCTCGTGTCTACGGGGCAAATTTTAAGGACGACGGGCTAAGGGCGGGCCTGCTTGTTCTCTAAGGAGTATACTTCGGACTGCAATAAGGGGGTTGGCTAGGCTCTGAGGCACATCGGGCCACGACACGCCTTCCCGTAGCGTGGCGCCATAGCCCAGGGGTACAGACCTCGTCTCGGAAGGTTCGAGGTTCAAATCCCATCGGTCGCCGTCAACTTTCATCATCTAAGTAAGTAACTTAAAGGGTAAAATTAGTGATTCAAAAGGAAAAAGCGTAACCAAAAAAAAAAAAAAAATTAGGGCAACGTGGGGCATACAAATTTTCAAATTTGAAAACGAGAACTATACTTACAGTATACAACAGCAAAACTCATATTTAACTACAGTAAAACTGTTATTTAAGTTGCAGAAAACTAGCAGAATTCTGAAACGAAAGATTGAAAACTGCAGTTTGTCCGAAAAAAAGGTACCTTTCGTGCAGTTAGACTATAGTTTTTCGTACTTAGAATAAAGTTTAGGCCTGTTTTTCTGTACTTCAACTGGAGTTTCATAACACTGAAACTACCACATGGACAAACTTGAAACCCTACTTTTGACTTGGACTCGCATGCACTCTATCTACATTATAAGTTGGGAAAAACTTAGAAACTGATGTAGTCAAAAGTGTATATCCTTCCACCCGGGAGCAGACAAACAGAAAAAGTTCCCTCCGCTCAGCGAATCAGAAGACGGGTTTCTCTTGACGCGGGGCGGTAGCTTTGATACTGGTCGATACTGAAAACGGGCTTGCTTCACTAGCCACCAAAAAATCCTATCAAAAGTTGCATGATGTTCTCAAAACCTGGGAAGGTCTCAAATCAAAACGACAAACGACACGGCAAGTTCCAAACACAATCGAAGAAAAGTGTCATGTTGTAAAAGCAAGATTAACAACAGTACGCCGGGTGGGGAAGTG